TGAAGGGTTTGAAGAGGTGGGGGGTTGGGAGGTTGGGGGAATCAGGTGGTGGGTATTAGAGAGGGCACGGGCTGCATGGAGCACTGGGTGTGGTACAAAAACAATGAATACTGTTATGCTGAAAATAAATTTTTAAAAAAAGGGAAAAAAAATAGGTGATGGGGATTAAGAGCACACTTACCATGAGGAGCATGGAGTAATGTATAGAATTGTGGAATCACTATATTGTATGCCTGAAACTAATACGAGAATGTATGTTAACTACACTGCAATTAAAATTTTAAAAACTTTAAAAAAAAATTATATGCCAACAAACTATACAACCAGGAAGAAATAGATACAATCCTAGAAACATATAAACTATGAACACTGAAACAGGAAGAAATAGAAAAATTGAACAGACCCATAACCAGCAAAGAAACTGAATCAATAATCAAAAATCTCCCAACAGGGGAGCCTGTCTGGCTCAGTTAGTAGAGCATGCAGCTTTTGCTTTCAGGGTGGTAAGTTCAAGGCCCATATTGTGTTACAAATAAACTTAAAAAAAAAATCTCCCAGCAAACAAAAGTCCAGGGCTAGATGGCTTCCTGGGAAATTCTACCAAACATTTAAAGAAGAATTAACAGCTAATCTACTCAAACTGTTCCAAAAAACAGGAATGGAAGGAAAACATCCAAACTCTTTTTATGAGGTCAGCATTATCTTGATTCCAAAACTAAACAAAGACCCCAGTAAAGAGGAGAATTACAGGCCAATGTCCCAGATAAAAAATTCTCAACAAGATACTAGCAAATCAAATCCAACAGTTCATTAAAAGAATCATTCACCATGATCAAGTGGGATTTATTCCTGAGCCACAAGCATGGTTCAGTATTTGCAAATCAATGACGTGATATTACACATTAATAAAAGAAAGGATAAGAACCATATGATCCTCTCAATAGATGCAGAAAAAGCATTTGACAAAGTACAGCACCCGTTCTTGATAAAAACCTTAAATAAAGTAGAAATAGAGGGAACATACTTCAACATCATAAAGGGCATAGATGAAAGACCCACAACAAATATTATCCTCAATGGGGAAAAACAGAGCTTTTCCTCTGTGGTCAGGAACAAGATAAGGATGTCCACCCTCACCACTGTTATTTAACAAAGTACTGGAAGTACTAGCCTCAGCAATCAGACAGCAGAAAGAAATAAAAGGAATCCAAATTGGTAAAGAAGAAGTCAAACTTTCTCTATTTGTAGATGCCATGATACTCTATGTAGAAAAACAAAAATATTACACCAAAAAGTTGCTAGAACTGATACAGGAATTCAGGAAAGTCGTACAATACAAAATCAACATACAGAAATCTGTTGCATTTCTATACCTGAATAATGAAGCAGAAGAAAGAGAAATCAAGGAATCAATCCCATTTACAACTGCAACAGAAACAATAAGATACCTAGGAATAAACCTAACCAAACAGGGAAAAGATCTGTACTCTGAAAACTAGAGAACACTTACGAAAGAAATTGAAGAGGACACAAAGAAATGGAATAGCATTCCATGCTAATGGATTGAAAGACTACTACCCAAAGCAATCTACATATTTAATGCAGTCCTTATCAAAATACAATAAGCATTTCTCACAAAGCTAGAATAAACAATCCTAAAATTTGTATGGAATCACAAAAGACCAGAATAGCCAAAGCAATCTTGTAAAAGAAAAGAAAAGCTGGAGGCATCAAATTCTGGACTTCAAGCTGTATTAAAATGCTGTAGTCATCAAGACAGTATGATACTGGCACAAAAACAGACACATAGATCAGTGGAACAGAACAGAGAACCCAGAAATGAACTCACAACTGTATGGTCAACTAATCGTTGGCAATGCAGGAAAGGATAACCAATGGAAAGAAAGACAGTCTAACAAATGGGGTTGGGAAAACTGGACAGCAACATGCAGAAGAATGAAACTGGACCACTTTCTTACACAAAAATAAACTCAAAATGGGTGAAAGACCTAAATGTGAAACAGGAAACATTAAAATCCTAGAGGAGAACAAAGGCAGCAACCTCTTTGACATCAGGCATAGCAACTTACTAGAGACGTCTCCAGAGACAAGGGAAACAAAAGCAAAAATGAACTACTGGGACTTCATTAGGATAAAAAGCTTCTGCACAGTGAAAGAAATAATCAACAGAACTAAAAGGCAACCTTTGGAATGGGAAAAGATACTTGCAATGACGTATCTGATAAAAGGTTACTATCCAAAATCTATATAGAACTTACCAAATTCAACACCCCCAAAACAAATAAGCCAGTTAGGAAATGGGAAGAAGACATGAATAGACACTTTTCCAAAGAGGACACCCAGATGGCTAACAGACATATGAAAAGATGTTCAACATCACCTGAGCATCCCGGGAAATGCAAATCAAAACCACAATGAGATACCACCTCACACATCTAAATGGCTAAAATAAACAACACAAGAAACAACTGATTTTAGTGAGGATGTGGACAAAGGGGAACCCTTTTACACTGTTGGTGGGAATGCAAACTGATGCAGCCACTCTGGAAAACAGTATGGTGGTGCCTCAAAAAAGTTAAAAGTAGAACTACCTTACAACCCAGCAATTGCTTACTAGGTATTTATCCAAAGGATACAAAAATACTTATTTAAAGGAGTACATGTACCCTGATGTTTATAGCAGCATTATCAACAATAGCCAAACTATGGAAAGAGCCCAAACGGCAATCAACTGAAGAATGTGTATAGATGATGTGGCATATATGTACAATAGAATATTACTCAGTCACTAAAAAGAATGCCATTTGTAATGACCAGGATGGACCTAGTGTGTATCTTGCTAAGTAAAATAAGTCAGAGAAAGACAAATAGATGATTTCACTTATGTGGAATTTAAGAAATAAAACTGATGAAAATAGGGGAAGGGAAACAAAAGAGACTCTTTAACTACATAGAATGAACTGAGGGCTGCTGGAGGGGAGGTAGGCTGAGGATACGCTAAATGGGTGATGGGTATTAGGAGGTCATTTTCTGTGATGAGCACTGGGTGTTATATGTAAGTAAGGAAACACTGAATTCTACTCTTGAATCTAGTATTACACTATAGGTTAAGTGGAATTTAAATAAAATTTGAAAAATTAAATAAATAAATAAATGAACCTTAACTCCTTTTTAAAAACCCAAACACCTGGCTTTTTAGTATACAGTGATGAGATGAATGAAATTATTGCCTCATCTGAAATGTATCAGTTGCTATGAATTACAAGTGGATCACTTGAGCAAAGTGAGACTCTTCTGGGATAGTAGTGAATTTCTCCAGCTTAACAGACAATTGGATTACAGAGATGTATGCACATGTCAAAATTTAGCAAAACACACACACACACACACACACACACACACACACACACACACACAAAGTTTAAGTGTTTCATCATAATAAAGCTTTACACCAAAAGAAAATTATAGTTAATGATATCAAATTATTTAGTAAGAAGCATACTAACATCTAAAATTAATTTTGAGATGCTTAAAATTAGGATCAATAGACATGTGGCAAGTGTGGCAAAATACTAAAATAGTAGAATCTAGGTGGTAGGTAAGGGTGCAAAATCTTTCATCTTGGATGAATGTTTGAAATTTTTTTATTTAAATTCAATTAGCCAAGGTACAGTACATCACTGGTTTTTAAGATAACGTTCAATGATTCATCAGTTCACTATAACACCCAGTGCTCATCACATCATACCTTAATGCCATCACCCAGTTACCCTATCCCCTCACCTATATCCCTTTCTGCAACCCTTAGTTTCTCAGAATCAAGAGTCTCATATGGTTGGTCTCCCTCTCTGACTCCATTCAGTTTCCCCCCATCCATATTGTCCTCTGCACTATTCTTCATATTCCACATATGAGTGAAACCATATGATAATTGTCTTTCTCTGACTGAGTTATTTCACTCAGCATAATATCCTCTAGTTCCATCCATGTCGATGTAAATGCTAGATATTCATCATTTCTGATGGCTGAATAATATTCCATTGTACATATATGTACCACTTCTTCTTTATCCATTCATCCATTGAAGGACATTTTGGCTCCTTCTGCAGTTTGGCTATTGTGGACATTGCTGCTAGGGTTGTAGGGTGGCTCTATTTTTAACTTTTTGAGGAAGATCCATACTGTTTTCCAGAATAGCTGCACCAGCTTGGATTCCCACCAACAGCATAAGAGTGTTCCCCTTTCTCCATATCCTTGCCAATATTTGTTGTTTCCTATTTTGTTTGCCATTCTAACTGGTATAAGGTGGTATCTCATTGTGGTTTTGATTTGTATTTCCCTGATGACTAGTGATGTGGAGCATTTTTTCATGTGTCTATGGGCCACTTGTATGTCTTCTCTGGAGAAGTATCTGTTCGTGTCTTCTGCCCATTTTTGACTGGATTATGTTTTTTTGGGTATTGAGTTTGAGAAGTTCTTCATAGATCTTGGATACCAGCCCTTTATCTGTAATGTAATTTGCAAATATCTTCTCTCATTCTGTAGGTTGCCTTTTAGTTTTGTTGATTGAAAATTTTTTAATATTATAATAATCCATTCATAAGAATATATATCATATATTTTACAATGAAAACTATGTAAATTGAATTAGAATGATTTTCCTACAAAGGGGACAGGGGAATAAAAGGGAAAGTAAGACAAAAGAAAAGAAAAGAGTAAATGAATAAGAATTGAAAATTAAAGGGTGTTTGCATTCACCAATGGGAACAATATATTATGAAGAAAAGGCATGTGAGATGCAAAAACAAATACTGATTTTTAAACTTTGTAACAAATGTTCTGCACTTTAAGAAGAGTGTGAATTAATCAACAACTGTGTATATAACTTAAATAACAATGATGTCAATGTCAAGAGGGTACACAGAAGCTTCAGAGTTTGATGTATGGTATCTGTGATCAGGGTGACCCTAAAAACTTACCTGTAAGAATCGATAAGGTGGTAGTCTTTCCTGCTCCATTAGGTCCCAGAAGAACAGTGATTTGACCTTCATATACATTAAAAGTTAAGTTTTTTACTGCTACGATGGTATTCTTCTCCACTGTGAATTCCTGTGAAAATTTTAAAAAAGTACTAGCTTTATGTTTATTATTACTGCTTATAAAGGGCAGCATGTCTATCAACTATCCAGAAAAGAACAAATGACAGAACATTAATCTCAAAAGAAGAAAAAGCCAAAGCATAAAAACGATAAAACTGTGAAAAATAAACAATATTTAAAGGCAATATATGCAGAGACCTTAAAAGTAGATCTACAAAACTCATCTGATCCAGTCCCACTTCAGTCCAGCTACTGTCTTGAGGCTGATAACACCACAGTCTGCTTCTCTATGTCTTCCTGCTAAGTTCCAGAACTTCATGGTGGACACACATTATACTTTCCTTGAGGTACTCCAAACACTACTCATTAGCATTACCTGAAAATGTATTCCTCATGCCACATTCCTTACCACAACCCACGTAGATGCAAAGACAGAAGCCTGAGACTGACTTACCTTACACACTTCCTTCTGCCTCGTCTACTAAAACAAATCACTGCTAATCAATCTCTTTAGTCAACAAATATTTATTGTGGGCCCATACTTTGTGGCATACATTGTGTAAGGTACTATGAATACATTAATGAACAAGACCAAAATAGCTCCTGCTCTCATGACAGAAAAATTCCAGTAGGAGAAACACATAGAAATCAAAAACCTGTAAATGATTACCTATCGTAGTAACATTGGTAGATGGTGCTACTTTGTATAAGATAGTCAAGTAAAGCTCCTTGAAGTCATAAAGCTTTTCTGATTAGGTTCAGAGGTATAATTTAGGGATTCATCTGTTGCATATAACACCTAGTGCTCATTACATCCAGTGCCCTATCCAGTTATTCCATCCCCCCGACCCATGTCCCCTCCAGCAGCCCTCAGTTTGTTTCCGAGAGTTCAGCATCTCTTCTGGTTTGCCTCTCTCTCAATTTTCATCCTATTTTATTTTTCCTTCCTTTCCTGTATGTTTATCTGTTTTGTTTCCTAAATTCCACATATGAACGACATCATACGGTATTTGTCTTTCTCTGACTTACTTCACTTAGTGTAATACCCTCTAGTTTCATCCATGACATTGCAAATGGCAAGATTTCATTCTTTTACATGGCTGAGTAAAATTCCAGTGTGTGTGTGTGTGTGTGTGTGTGTGTGTGTGTGTGTACACACACACACCACATGTATTTTGCCTTTTAGTTAACTGTTTCCTTGGCTGTGCAAAAGCTTTTTAACCTGATGAAGTCCTAATAGTTCATTTTTTAAAGTCTCTATTTTTAATTTTTTTCTTTTTTAATTTATTTTTTCAGTGTTCCAAGATTCAATGTTTATGCACCACACCCAGTGCTCCATGCAATATGTGCCCTCCTTAATACCCACCACCAGGCCCTCCCAACCCTCACCACCCTCCCCTCCAAAACCCTCAGATTGTTTCTCAGAGTCCAGAGTCTCTCATGCTTCATCGCCCCCTCCGATTTCCCCCCAACTCACTTCTCCTCTCCTTCACCCAGTGTCCTCTGTTATTCCTTATGCTCCACAAGTAAGTGAAACCATATGATAATTTACTCTGCTTGACTTATTTCACTCAGCATAATCTCCTCCAGTCCTGTCCATGTTGACACAAAAGTTGGGTATTCATCCTTTCTGATGGAGGCAAAACTCTATCATATATATGGACCATATCTTCTTTATCCATATTCACCTGCTGAAGGGCATCTTGGCTCTTTCCACAGTCTGGCAACTGTGGCCACTGACAGATGGCCCTTCTGTTCACTACATCTGTATCTTTGGGGTAAATTTTTAAAAAATTTTTATTATGTTCAGTTTATTTTTGCTTTTGTTTCCCTTGCCTTTGGAGATGTGTCCAGCAGGCAGGAAGGAGTGAGAGGGGGAGGGAAAAGGAAGGGGAGTGGCAGTGTATGATACTGGGCATGGATAGTGTTCTGAGTGCTTTTATGCATTTCCCAGACTAATCACCTCTGAGAGCAGACAGAGTCTGTGGGCGGCCACCACCACCTGGGTCCAGCAGAGACTCCAAGCCAATGCAGGCCAGGAGGAGGAGTGGATAAGTGTTCTGCTGGTAAAAGGGGAAGGTCCGATGAAAGGTCATTAGTGTGAGGGAGAAGAGGTTGGCTTCCTGTGTTCTCTTCTAGAATTTTGATGGATTCCTGTCTCATATTTAGGTCTTTCATCCATTTTATTTTTTTTTGTATGGTGTAGGAAGTGCTTCAGTTTCATTCTTCTGCATGTGTCCCATTTTCCCAACACCATTTGTTGAAAAGACTGCCTTCTTTCCATTGGATATCATTTCCTGCTTTGTTGAAGATTAGTTGGCCACAGAGCTGAGGGTCCATTTCTGGGCTCTCTATTCTGTTCCATTGATCTATGTGTCTGTTTTTGTGCCATTACATACTCTCTTGATGATTACAGCTTTGCAATACAGCTTGAAGTCCAGAATTTTATACCTTCAGCTTTGCTTCTCTTTTTCAGGATTGCTTTGGCTATTTGGGGTCTTTTCCAGTTCCATACAAATTTTAGGATTGTTTGTTCTAGTGCTGTGAAAAAAACACTGATGGTATTTTGATAGGGATTGCACTGAATTTGTAGATTGCTTTGGGTAGCACAGATATTTTAACATGTGTTCTTCCATCTATGAGCATGGAATGCTTTTCCATTTTTTGTGTCTTCCTCAATATCTTTCATAAGTGTTCTCCAGGGGTGCCTGGTGGCTCAGTTGTTAAGCGTCTGCGTTGGCTCAGGTCATGATCCCAAGGTCCTGGATCAAGCCCCACATCAGGCTCCCTGCTCAGCAGGGAGTCTGCTTGTCCCTCTCCTTCTGCCTGCCACTCGCCTTGCTTATGCTCTCTCTCTCTCTTTGTCAAATAAGTAAATAAAATCTTTGAAAAAAAATAAGCATTCTCCAGTTTTCAGAGTATAGATCTTTTACCTGTTTGGTTAGGTTTATTCCTAGGTATCTTACTGGTTTTGGTGCAAATGTAAATGGGATCAATTCCTTGATTTCTCTTTCTTCTGCCTCATTGTTAGTGAATAGAAATGTAACTAACTGCTGTGCATCGATTTAGATCCTGTGGCTCTGCTGAATTCCTGTATCAGTTCTAGCAATTCTTTTAGGTTTTCTACACGGAGTATCATGTTGTCTACAAAGAGTGAGTCTGATTTCCTCCTTGTCAATTTGGATGCCTTTCATTTCTTTTTGTTGTCTGATTGCTGAGGCTGGGACTTCCTGTACTATGTTGAACAACAGTGGTGAGAGTGGACATCCTTGTCATGTTCCTGACCTTAGAGGGAAAGCTCTCAGTTTTTCTCCATTGAGGATGATATTCACTGTGGGGTTTTCATATATGGCTTTTATGGTATTGAGGTATGTACCATCTATCCCTACGCTGCAGAAAGTTTTTATCAAGAAAGGATGCTGTATTTTGTCAAATGCTTTTTCCGCATCTATTGATAGGACCATATGGTTCTTACCCTTTCTTTTATTAATGTGGTGTATCATATTGATTGATTTGTGGATATTGAATCAGGCTTGCAGCCCAGGAATAAATCCCCCTTTGTCATGGTGAATAATCCTTTGAATGTTGCCCATTGGATCCTATTAGCTAGTACCTTGTTGAGAACTTTTGCATCCAGAATATTGGTCTGTAATTTTACTTTTTGGTAGGGTCTATGTCCAGTTTTGGGATCAAGGTAATTCTGGCCTTATAAAAAGTGTTTGGGGGCGCCTGGGTGGCTCAGTGGGTTAAGCCGCTGCCTTCGGCTCAGGTCATGATCTCAGGGTCCTGGGATCGAGTCCCACATCGGGCTCTCTGCTTAGCAGGAAGCCTGCTTCCTCCTCTCTCTCTCTCTCTCTGCCTGCCTCTCCGTCTACTTGTGATCTCTCTCTGTCGAATAAATAAATAAAATCTTTAAAAAAAAATAAAAAAAAATAAAAAGTGTTTGGAAATATTCCTTCCATTTCTATCTTTTTGAAACAGCTTCAGAAGAACATGTATTAATTCTTTAAATGTTTTGTAGAATTTCACAGGGAGGCTATCTGGCCCTGGACTTTTGTTTGGAGATTTTTGATTATTGATTCCATTTCTTTGTTGGTTATGGGTCTGTTCAGGTTGTCTATTTCCTCCTGTTCAGTCTGGTAGTTTATATGTTTCTAGGAATGCCTCCATTTCTTCCAGATTCCTCCATTTCATTTTTTTTGCAAGTAATTGCTCATATGAATATAACAAAAAGCTGTACTAAGAGCAAAGTTTATAGCAACAAAGGCCTACATAGGGGCACTTAATTGATCCAAATAAACTAATATACCCAGGAACACCTCCTCACCAAAAGTTTGGACAAAAGAGAATTCAGCCAAATAGTCTAATGCATAATTGGTAGAACAAGTAAAACCGTAACTGTAAACATAAATTAATATTTACACATCAAATCATCATAGTCCCAGCTAGACATTAGCTCTTATAGTGGGAATACTGTAAAAGCCACCATTATCATAATACAAAGCTGGATTCCATTCTGAAGAAATGAGAAATACATGGAGTTTTTACTTTATTTGCACATCTTTCATTTTTATTTTGTCAAACAATTAATGTGCTGAATATAACTTTTATTAACATCTTATGGGGGGGGTAGAGCCATGGCCAGTGAAAACATTTACTATACACCATCAACTAACTTTCCGTGCATTGGGGAAAAGAGACTTAGAAAACAGTACCTTGTATAGATGTTGAATCCTAATACCAGCCACCAAATCAACAGGCTCTTCTTCAAAATAATCACTTCTAATTGTGTCAATAATTTGTTTATCTTCTTTATACTTAACGCTTAAAGCTTTACCAAACCAGTAGGATTTCTAAGAAAAGAACAAAACCATAGTCATCAGGATGTCAGTGAAATGATGTCAGTGAAAAATGAGATGCTCTTAACACTTTGGCTCATTTCACTTTGGTTTCAAGATGAGTTGAACCACATACATTGAAACAAAATTGAAAGCAAACTACCTAGATTGTGAACTTCTACACAGTAAGCACGAAACCTGTTATTTAAAAGCTCACTGTTGGGGCGCCTGGGTGGCTCAGTGGGTTAAGCCGCTGCCTTCGGCTCAGGTCATGATCTCAGGGTCCTGGCATCGAGTCCCGCATCGGGCTCTCTGCTCGGTGGGGAGCCTGCTTCCTCCTCTCTCTCTGTCTGCCTCTCTGCCTGCTTGTGATCTCTCTCTGTCAGATAAATAAAATCTTTAAAAAAAAATAAAAAAATAAAAGCTCACTGTCCAAGAAGAAAAACAAAATAAAATCTACTTAAAAATGGTTCAGTGAAAAGCATTCTATCACTCTAAGTCAAGTGTCTTTATTTGGACATGCAGTATACAGATAGATACCTGGAGATTCCTAATACATTTTCATGAGTCTGTGAGTTCAAAATTCTTTTTCATAAAAATACTTTTAAAAATACATTATTCATCTTTCTATTGCATTGATATCTTCATTGGTGGTATAAAAGAAATGTTGCGTAAAATGCCTGGTGCTTTAATGCTGATCAAATTAGTAGCATAAAACTGTACTAAGCAATCACCATCCTCTTCACCACTAGACACAGTAATAAATCAATCAATTTATTTCATTTAATTGTGTCTTTTATGAAAAAGTAAAAATTAGTTATTAAGTTTCATTCCTTGAGTATGATATTTTAAATATTCTGTGTGATGAAATGGGAAATATGAATAAAGCATTTCTATAGCAAATGAAAATATAATGGAAGCTCTGAGAAAAATTACTTGTGTCATTTGAGTTGTGAACTAGCCACTTTTTTCATGGAAACCACTTTTTTCCGAAAGAATGACAGATACAAAAATTATAGTTCTTTTTTTTTGCTTTTTTTTTAAAAATTTTTAAGTTTATTTTCAGCGTAACAGTATTCATTGTTTTTGCACCACACCTAGTGCTCCATGCAATCCGTGCCCTCTCCAATACCCACCACCTGGTTCCCCCAACCTCCCATCCCCCGCCCCTTCAAAACCCTCAGATTGTTTTTCAGAGTCCATAGTCTCTCATTCACCTCCCCTTCCAATTTCCCTCAACTCCCTTCTCCTCTCTAACTCCCCTTGTCTTCCATGCTATTTGTTATGCTCCACAAATAAGTGAAACCATAT